AACACCAGGTTGTGAGTTCAATCACTGTACTGACCATTTATTTAAGAGTTGGACTCTTATCCTTGTGGGTCCCTTCCAACTCAGAATATTCTATAAATCTGTGAACTTTTCTTCTACCATTCCTAGTAGCTAATATAGAATGCAAATTTTATTTGCACTTGGTTTTTTTTGTTTGTTTTTTTTTTTTCTTTCAAGTGGAGGGAAATGCTACATGATTCAGTCATTATTTTCTTCTTGATGGGAGCCCTTCTGAGATATGAGTAGCATTAACAATGATAGGGAAAGGTTCTTTTCCCAAAACACTCTAATACACAGTCTAAATATTGCTACGCATATTAAATTTTTTGTTCTTAACATTCAACATGTAGCTTCAGCATTGAAATTTGCATATGCAGTATTGTTTTGGTTGTATAGAATTTTTCTGGTACTGTTAAGATCAGTAAGATTTTGAAGCATGCCTGTTAGTCTTTAACTTGCTACCAGTGACTTCCAAGTAAAATGTGCCTGCAGAAATGAAAATAGATTTCGCAAACCTCCAAGCAAACCTCTTGCAGTATCCATAGAATTCTTTTCTCTATTTTCTCTTTAATACATTCAGGCTATAGTTTAAAAAAGTGTCACTATCATGTGTCTCTCTCTAATTCTGCCCAAATTGGATGCTCTTGTTTGAATGTGGAAAACAATGTTTGTCTTGACAGCTGATGTTTGTGTTTTGTTCTCTTTACAGCGCATTTGCTCGATACCCTAATGCAATAGTTGTGCATTATTTCTGCTCCAAAGAAGTCAACACGCTGGACACCTGACCTTGTCATGTCAATAACCCCAACATTTATACAAAATTCAGTACTGATGACTAAAGAAGTTGATGTGTCTGAGAGTTTTGAGGCTTGTTGCTAGGTTCTCTTACACTGGGTAGAAATCATTTGTATCTGTGGATTGACTGTACATACCCAGCAGTGTTGATTTACTAGAAAATTACTTTAACCATGTTGTTACAGTGCTGGCAAGTACGCTGAACCTCTCAGTCCTCAGATGAAGAATAGAAACTGATTTTTGTAGTGACTTTTGTAACACACTCCAGCCTTGCAAATGAACCGTGAGACAACTGTTGGACGTTCACCACAAATCAAGTCTTTACAATAAAATGTACTTTATTAGGGTGGCAATGTTGTGATTTGGCCTTGTATATAAGTATTTATTCAAAAAAAGAAAATCCCCTGAAAGTCTTTGCAGCCATATCAGCATTGCATGGAGATCACCAGGTGTTTATCATAGAGGAGGCTTCTGTGTCTGTTTCTAGACTTAGGAAGTGCAGCTTTTATCTCAGCAACAGAAATGATGTAAGTGCTGGCCAAAGGACTCTCTGTTGGTATTCGGTGGTTTTGCTTGACCTTCTGGTAAGTTGTTTCACCGGAGATAATTAGAGAAATGGTAGATACCACTAAGAAGCTTTTTTTCCCTTTTTGTTTTAGTTTGAGATCTATAAATTGAATTAACTTGTGTGTTCTTTGCACTGACTGTGTTCACTCTTAGTGTGAGTGGAAGCTCAGAGACTGTTGGAAGAAGTTCACATCTGCACTCAAAGGAAAAAGCAAAGAACACCCTCTAAAGCAATTTCTGGAAGGAGTGAACTCTAGTTACTGCTTGAGCTTCTGGACTATGCTTGAGACTTTTGTATATAAATTCTTTAGTCTCTGGTTCACTTTCCAACAGTGAAGTAAAATCCAGACTGTTTCAACATCTGTGTATTTGAAATGCTCTAGAACTGCATTCTGTTCAGGCTGGTACTGTTCTTAAAATTACTCTTGGGCCAGAAGTCTTAACACAAGAACTAAATTGTACCATACTCACTCTAGACTGTAATATTTTTGTCTAACTTATTTTTTCAGAAACATTAATCAGTAGCAGATTGGTATGAGGGACAAAATGTTTGTTGCAGAAAGAATCTGTGGAGCGGTAATGAAAAGGCAGCAGTAGCAAATAACCCAGTGGAGGGACTGTTTGACTCCCAACATCCTGGTCTAGCAATACTTACAAATAAATCATTATTAAATGGTATGGAGCATGACATGTAACTACCAGATATCACATCTTAAAGAACAAGCTGATGAATAAATCTGGTCTGCCTAAAGTGTAGTTGAACCTCAGTTAACATCTTAGGTTTACTTAAATCATGTGAGGTTTTTTTTTTAGGAACAGATCTGCTGTAGGCTGAAAACAGTTCTAATTCACTTTCATTTGCCAGTGTTAAGAGTTTCCCTTGATAATTGTTTTTTCCTTGTTCATATGTGTTTGTATTTATTGTTATGCATTCTTCTGGATTTCTTTGTCCAGTGTTTTGCTTGGATGTCTTGGGCAGTATTGCTACTGAATACTTTCTGCAGAGGCTGGATAGAGGGAATCTGTGGTGTTAATGTTTTTAAACTTGTATTTCTTCTGTTTGAAGAAGAGAGCCTAAAAATACTTACACTAGATTTGCACATGCTGTATAGATCTTTATATACTAGTTCAGGTACGGAGGGAAGATGGTTTGGGAGAGTTGTGTTTACAGGTCATAGAGAATGAAGAGAGGGCATTTAAAAAGACCTTGCATTCTTTGTATACAGGTATAACAATGCTACTCTGATTTTTACTTATCTTATGTTTAGTACTGGTAGTATGATTTTTATTTGCCTTCATTATCTGTAACCAGGATCTTCATTGTGCTCTTACAAGACTAAAGTTGTGCCTCTGTTCATCTCCACTGCATACCTTTTACAGAGATGTGGTTTGTGCTGTACTTTTTTTTTTTTTGTTGGTTCATACAATGTGCTTTGGGTTTCCTAACCATACAGCAGGTTTATCTAAAGCAATAGGTTGTAATAAATATCATGAACCAGTGTGTGTTTCAGTCTTTGTGCAGTTAAACTTCTCTGGGCTGATGTAGGTTTTATTTTTATTTGTATATAAGACCTCACTTTCTCTTGGAAGTCAGACCCAGTGCAGTATCTCAGTGTTCCCTTTGCTTTAGTATGTGTAAATCAAGTGTGGCAATTCTCAATGTAGGTTTTTAAATCTACAAGTTTATACTTGCTTGTGAATGTTCTCAAAATCCTACTAAAACCACTTTTGAATTATCTCTTTGAATAATGTTTTTGCAAGTCTTACACCATTATACTATTAAATATGTACTTACTGGAGAACACTAAAATTACTGACAAGTTTTTTCTGGGTAGTGATGTTTGAGTGGTTTTGTGCTGGGGAGGGATGTTGAGCTCTGTGTGACCAAATCAGGAAATGTTTAGATTCACAGGTTTGCACTTGCTTGGGCTGTAGGTCATAGAGTCTGGTGTTGGAAGTAGAATATAGATCCTCAGTTTTCCTATTCTGTAGCCATGGGAAGCACCAGCACAGAGGAAGTCTCCTGTTTCCATGTTCACAGAGTCATAGGATGGGCCAGGCTGGGAGAACCCACAGTGGATCATTCTGTGCAAGCTCCCTGCTCAAGCAGGGGCATCTCCAGCAGGTCAGCCCCAGCCTGTGCTATGGGGTTATTCCTCCAGGTGCAGGACCCTGCACTTGCCTTTGTTGGATTTCTGGCAGTTCTTCCCTGGCCATCTCTCCAGCCTGTTGAGGTCCTTCTCAAGGGCTGCACAGCCCTCTGGGGTATCAGCCACTCCTCCCAGCTTTGTGTCATCAGTGAACTTGCTGAGGAGGCATCTGCTCCTTCATCCAAGTTACTGATTGAACAACTAAGTATATTGGTGTTTCTGGAGAAAACCAAAAAATCCCCAACAAACACAAATCAAATTCTATCCTTGCATCCTTTGAAATTTTAATCTCTTCTAGTTGTATACTGCATCTCAGCTCTCCTCTTGGTGCTGCTAATGTGACCAAAATGGGTCCCTTGTGATATCTACACACATTTAAAATATTATATAATATAGTTGGTGATGATGTAATTTAATGCTTTCTGATAAAAAAACCTCAAAACTGCAATGTAGAATCTATCTTTACCCCTGTGGTCATGCTAATCAAAGCAGAAGTAAAATTACTGGGTGGGAGGATTTCTTTGCCTCATCTTTTGATGCCATTGTGCTTGCTTGTTTTCTTAGTCTGATGGGAAATAACAAAACCAAGTAGTTTATCTTTGGATATTAAGTTTGCTGACAACAGTGTCTGAGGATGGCTGAAACTGCACACAGACACTGCTAATGGGTGATCTGTTGTTGACCATGAAACAATTCTCAAGCATATGTTCTAAAGAGCTTTCATTTTTTCTTGAGAGATTCAAGAGAAATTCTGTAAAAGTGAGATCCCTGTGCTGAGTGAGATTTCATTGGAAGAGGAAAGAGTGTCAGAAGACAAGTAAGCTGAATTTATGTGCAATTGGGCACTCAGGACAAAGTAGAGGGTTTATCCACTGCCTGTAATAAAGTAGAATAAGTGTGATTTCTCCATGGTGCTGTACTGTGAGGTCATCTCAATTTTCTTGTAAGTTATAGTCAAGCTGCATTAGATTAAATGTAAAAGAAAAAGTACACTTACGGTTCTACAATCCTTTTGAAGATCAATAAAACCTAATGTGATAGTCATAGAATGATTTGGGTTGAAAGGAACCCTAAAGATATTTTAAATTCAACTCTCCAGGACCCCAACCTGGCACTGAACACTTCTAGGGATGAGGCATCCCCAACTGCTCTAGGCAACCTGTTCCAGTGCCTTACCATCTTCCAAGTAAAGAGTTTTTTCCTAATATCCAATCGAATATTCTACCCTCTTTAAAACTGTCCTCCCTTGTTCTATCACTGTCTGTAGTGCAAAAAGTCACTCTCTCTCTTCAAAAGCCCACTTTAAATAATGGAAGGCTTCTGTGAGGAATTCCTGGAGCCTTCTCTTATCCAGTCTGAACAGCCTTCCATCCTCGGAGTGGTGCTTCAGTCCTTCACCATCAGTGCAGTGGTGAGTAGAAAAGCAAAGGAATAGCTTTTTCAGCCCACTGTCTGCTGTACCATTTAGTAGGACACAAGGGCTTTAGGGCAGTTGCTGGCTGTTTCACAATGGCATTATGTTTGCTTTTTGCCTGTGTGTTGACTCTTCATTCTGTGAATTCACCACAATGGCTCCCACCTAGTGCTGACTTGTTTATGTTTGAAATGTCAGTGCTTGTGCTTTTATTAATTTTCTCAAATTCTAGCCTGGTGGCTGATGCTAATGACAGGAAATGATTAATGAATGGGACCTTGCTGAGAATGTGACACATTCTCATGCTTGCATGGAGCTAATGACATGCTGCATTACTGGCTTTCATACATTTTCTGCCACTTTTAATTGTTGTATCTCTAAAGTTTGGTACTTGGTCTGCAGTTCCAGTTTATGAATTTGAGCTCTTTGATAAAATGCTCCAGCAAGACAACTGTCAGCAGCTGCTAGTAAGCTAATTGCTTTTTAGCAAACTATTTCCTTCACTATTCAGTTATTTTTTCAAGTGTGATAGACTCTTAAAAAAATCTGTCCTGTCTCTTGTAAAGTTTTTTGAGAACATTTGGTGGAAGAATTAAGACTGTATTACATGGAAATGAAGAAAAAGGGGAGACTTCTGCAGGTTGCTCAGAGAGGACAGATGTGGTGGGGAGTTGATATTCCCTGAAGCATCTTATGGCAGACCAAACTGTGGTGTCTCCACTCTGGCCTCCCTGAAACTGCTCTGAACAGCTACAGTCAGTGACAAATTTTGCTTTACTTCAGGCTTGTAAGATGGGAAAATTTTTCTATTTAAGAATACTGGTAGGTTGTGCTGAAGCTCTGAAAAGGATTTGAAATGGCCATAGTTGCACATAGGTTGCTGGAACTCTCAAAGAAAATCTGGATTGGGGTTTAGGTGTCGTGGCTGGATCACAAAGTGGTGCTTCCTCCTGCCCAGGGCTTCCCTGTTTGATGCTGCTTTGTGCCCTTATCCTGTAGCAACATTGGAAAAACCTGCCAGCGAGGTTTTGAGCTGGCTTGTTTGGCAAGTGTGGGCCACACCTCCACTTCTCACAGCTGGAGCACAGCCCAGTCCTGCGCAAAACTTCGGATGAGTCCGCGGCAAACAGCGCTCCGCAGCCGGGCGTCCTGGGCTCGCCTTGCTCTGGGTTTCCCTGTCAGATTTTCTGCAGAGACAGCAGGACATTTTCCCCATGTTCCATGAGGTGCTTCGGGGCCCATTTCCACCCAGAGTGCTGCCTTTTCTGGCAGCAGTGCTTTTCCAAAGGAAGGAGAGGAGGGACACTGGCTTCTATCAGTGGCGGGTAAGAGAAAGCGTGGTGCTGGCTCTGAGATGGCATTCCTTGGCTGATGTGCTCAGGAGGGACTTCCTGTTGCTGCATGTATGGAAAACCTGCCCTGCACTTCTGCAGGAATGAAAAATTCATTGCTACCCACACTTGTCTCTTAATGATCATGTTAATGGAGATTTCAGGTTTTTATTAAATTCAGGGTCTGCCTGAGGAAATCCAGAGCAGATCTGTGTTTCCTTAGGTTTTGGGGAGCAGAATTGAGCTGATGTCAAGTACTTTTTTGAGGGGAGTCCAGAATACTGCACTTTTCATCAGTGGAGATGAAATCATGCTTACGTGTTTTCTTGCAAAATAACCTTGACTACAGTTGCCTTCTGTTTTGCTTTTTGTCTTACCTTACAGGGATTAATGGTCTCAGGTAGACAAAGACTAATGATGGCTTCAGCTCCTGCTCCTAATGCAGTGCAACCACAACAGATAAAGTGGTTTTGAGGCGTTTGTCCTTTAACTAGGGTGAAATAATTTCATTGTATAAGATAGTCAGGCTAATAACTTCAATTTTAAATTAAGCTAAATGTTTATGAAGGAGCTTTTGACTGGAGATTTGATCTGTAAGCTGATCACCCTTGTCGTATCCTATCACACCAGCCCCTCAGTATACAATTAAAATTGAGATGACCATTAATTGTCACAAGACAACTTGCTGCTTGTACAGCTTTCTGCACTTCTGCTTGCTGTGTGAAAGAAATAAACTTGTTGACTTTTTGATATTTTTGTTTAGTACTTGGGAGATCAGGTTAGAAGGGACTCATGTAAACCTCCATTAACCTGTAAACCACTGAATATCTTTTCCCTCAGACACTTGCTATTTAAATTTTAAAAAAATTAACATTACTTAACAAAATTTTACGGCTGTAGGGAGAGATTTTAGTATTGACTAATTGATGGCAATAGAGCAAGGGGTGGGGCAGCAGATCACCCTTTTGTCTTTGTAGGTAAATTTAACGTGATCAGACTGTTGTAGGTAAATTTAACGTGATCAGACTGCTTTAATTTTTCAGAGTTTAGCCTTGGATTCATTTCTAAAAACAACAATAAACTGGCAGTGAACCTGGTGTTTGCCACTGCAGTTGTGTTACTGAGCTGCTGGCGCTGCTCATGTCCTGGCTGACCATAAATCCTGCCTGCCAGGAGAACATGGCTCTTAGGGCTGGCTCTGTGAGTCTCCTGAGGGAGGAGGGACAGTGCAAGGGGTGCCCAGGAAAGGCAGGGATTTACTTTGGGGTTTAAAAGCAGACTTGTGACACTTTGGCCACAGGAAGGGAATGATGTGCAGCAGTGTTTCTTTGGAAGGAGGAGCAAGATGGGGAGAAACTGCTCCATTGATAAACTGAACATTTCTTTGAGCTGCCTAATTTTCCTAATGAACACAAAGTATGTCTTAGAACACAAAATATGTCTCAGAAGTTGTGTTTCAATTTGCTGTGACAGCATTTTTGTAATGATTCTGGCAGGCTTATGGTGAGTCCTCTGCCTTCACTGAGACTTGTGGGGGTGGATCCCTGCACTTGCTGCCCACTGTTTAAAGGCAGGTATCCTGGACTGCATGAAAGTAAAGATTGCTGGGTCCTATAGCTGGGATTACTTGTTCTACAGTCACTTCCAGCTGCATCAACATCTTCAGTTTAGATGAAAGGTACAGACAGTTTTGCGAAGTTAAGTATGTGAAAATTCAGCCTTGTACCCTTATTTTAGGATTTAGGATTTAAAGGTGGTGTTTTTTTTTTTGTTTGTTTTTTTTTTTTTTTTTTGGTTTTTTTTTGCTTCAGGTGTACTCCTGAGCTCTGGATAAGCAGTGATTCTGAAAAATCATTATGCAAAGCAGAAGTTAGCTGCTTCTGTCAGTCACATACATTGGTATGCTGCCATGTCATCAGTACTTGTTGTCCATTTCCCGTATGGATTTCTTGCCAGCCTTTTCCCTGATCATTCAGATAAGGCATATCTGATACTCCCATGCTTTATTACTCTGCAAACTCACCTGGCAGCATGCTATGACCTTGCTGTGCCTTTGCTAAAAGATAAGTAAAAAAGGCATATGAGGAGGTTATGGCATACATGATCACATAGGCTTGGGAGCACAGTGACATTTCTATTGAGTTGTATGCCCTTAAATTACCCTTAAATTATAAACTGGATGTGGAAAATGTATCCTTAGCTGTCTAATGACTGGCTGGAAATTGAAAGTGTTAGAGACCTTTGGAAAGGGCATTCTTTTGAGCATGTAAGTACATTTTTGACAGATGGTGTGCAATAAAAGAAGGCTAGGCTATCTTCATGGTACTCTGCACTTGCTCTGATAGTGTCTGATTTATGTGAATGAAGATTGCTTTCACAGCCATGGGGGTATGATTATGTAGCTTCGTGTCTCAACAAACAGAAGAATTGCAGGAACATTAGGAAGTTGGTGAGAATAACAATTCACGATCTTGAATTTCTATTTGTAATCTATTCCCCAACTTGATGAAGTAGAAAGGTGGTCAGGCTTTGCCTGAGAAACTAGTGTCAGGAATTGAATAAAAGAAAGGTGATTAGGAGAAGTTTAAAGATGAAAGACACTAGCATCTGAAGTGTGGAAGTCATGGTGAAATTCACTGTGAAGGCATGTCTTGTTTACAGAAACAAATAAAGGAATGAATATCTTTAACAAATCATTTCTGCAAGTAAGTCTCTGTAAGATTAGTAACAGTATAACTGAAGTTTATTTGCACAAATTTAATTTAGTACCTGCATGCAAGAAATCTTAGGTGACGTGTAGTTTTTGCTCTTTGCTTGTTGGTCAGGATGGATGGTGCTTGCTTAACACAAAAATGTTCAGTATACTCTGTATGCTTTGGCTTTATTGTGTTCAAGCCCTGTTTTGCAAAAGCTGGCAAGTATCTCCAAAAGATGAAAAATAAGGAAGATTCGCCAAGAATGTGACTGCTTAACAAACATTGTATAATTTATCAGATAAGGAACATTCAAGAAGATTTAAACAGTTCAGGATTCACTGGTTTCTGTGAGATCCCACTCAGTGATATGTAGGCCCTACATTTTGATATAATATTTCAAGAATCATAAAACCGAAGAATGGTTTGGGTTGGAAGGGACCTTAAAGTCTTGTTGCAACCCCCCTGTCATGGGCAGGGACACCTTCCACTAGACCAGGTTTCTCAAAGCTCCTGCCTGGCCTTGAACACTTCCAGGACAGGAATGGCCAGGCACAGGTTCTCTGGGCAACCTCTTCCAGTGCCTCATTTGTCAGTCTGCAGTATTTTGTTGTAAGTGAAGATCTTGTTGAATTTATTTGTAAGTGAATACTTAGCATATCTAAAATTAAACTCTGGTCTCAAGCCAACCTTGTTGAAAGTTGTGAACATGAAGTAATGACCATTTGTGAAAAGCATTTTGAAAATGGGATTTAAGAATAGGAAAAGTTCTTAGCTGGCCAGGATTGTGTCATAACTGATGAAAATGAGGCAATATCCCATTCTGTTCCTGAGCCTTACACAATTACTTCTGTGTAAGTAGTCTCTGTACTAAATCACCTCAAGCTGTTTTCTCTTGTCCCCTGCCCTCCCCCCACTTCTCCTTCATGATATTTTAGGATCCAGTCAGACTTTTTGTTCCCCACTTCACACCCTGACATTTAGGTACTAATATTACTTTCCAAAAATAGTCTCCCAGAAGCTTTCAAGAGTGGGGATTACATTTTATCTGTGCTGGTAAGGTGACGTGCATGTTTAGAATGCTGATACCAGTTAACAGTCCAGAATGAAAATGAATTTAAGATTTGTCTTTTCTAACTCAAACTGCCATTAAATGTTTTGGCAAGCATTTTGGGTTTTTTTCTCATTGTAAACAGCATGTGCCTTTTATGACTTTAGACCCTGCTCTTAAGATTCTTGCCATGTCTGCTTTTCCTCAAGCATTCATGTACCCTTGGCCACTTCTCTGGAACGAGCTGCCATGGATGTGTTTGAGCAGCTTTAGCACCTGTTTCTCACACAGCAAGAATGTACTAACAAAGCAATTAATAACTGATCTATAATTGGAGGAATCCCTAAATAAGGGACTTACTTTCTGAAGTCTGTGAGGAGTTACCCTAAGACATTGCCAAAAGGGAATTGAGTTTCCTTCTGGGCACCTTTAGTTGTCCTCCAGGACACTGCAAGTGCTGTGTATATTCCCAAACTGATTCATTAGTAGCTCATTTTGGGCTGGCTACTTCTGATTCATTTCTCTGGTCTAATACTAATGTGGTTACAGAGCAGGCATTTCAATTGAGTTAAAAGCTGAGCTTGTTTCTCTCTTTTCAGTGGGAAAAGCATCCTTACTACAACCTGACAGTAAAAGTCCTCAGAGCCAGAAACATCAAGGGTACAGATGTGTGTAAGTATTTACCCAAGGCATTATGAAAACATGTTGGTTCCTTGGTGCATACCTCTAGCAAAGAGAGCATTGTTAAGGGAGCCTCTTATCTACGCACGCTTCATTGCCTTTATGTCTCAAAAAAAGCTTCTCATGTAAAGCATTATATATATAATATTAAGTATATTATCTGAATCTCAAAAGCTTTTTGTGAGGCCAATCTGCAGATTAAGCAGCTGCAGCTGTTCTTACTTTGCAGAACAAGATCATGTAAGTCCTGGTAAGGTTTTGCTTCCCTGCTCCTTTTCCTGTTCTACTGTGGCCCATTCTGTATTCCTTTCTCTGGATTCAGCCTTCTGGGTATGGCAAGTTTCACCCTTGCTCCTGCTGAACAGTCTTCCTGAAACTGGAAGCACAAGTCTTTAATTCTAGCATCCAAAGGTTTATTTTCTCAGTTGTAGTAGTGCTTTATTTCATGTACGTGCTATTTGTCATTGCAGACTTTAAAGGAAGCAGGTGGTTGGCTGATTCCAAGATAAGCTGCTTTTTATCTGTTCCTGGTTTTGATAGCGTGGTATATATTCCCTCCTATTTACACCCCTGTGTAAAGATCTCAGGGCCATTTGGGGCCTTTGGATCTTTAAAACTCATTTATATTAAATTACTTCAGATTAGATCAAGTAAGATAGTCCACCTTAAGTTTATATCTGACATCCAGCATTGAACTACCTGGAATGCAAAATACCTGTTCAGGGAACAGAAAAACCTCCTGAGAGGCTGAGAGCTAGAACAATGTTGTGAAGAGTTCTTTTCTATGGCCTGTCTATTCAGCTGGAGTGAAGAATGGTCCCCATACTTGCATTGTTGAAGGGGTCCTAAATGGAAGAAAGAAGGGCTCTGAGACAATAATTTGTTTTCAGGGAATGGAAACAGCCCAGCTCCTTGCCTGACTAAACAAGGGTACAGCAGTAGTGGATGTTGTCTCCCTGGACTTTGGTAGGCTTAAGCTCTTTCAGTGATGCCCAGGGATAGGAGAGGAGGCAATAGCCCTGGTATCAGCAATAATCTTTTTTAAAGTTGATCTTCCTCATTTTAAATACTAGTCTTTTTTATTAAGGGCTTTATCATTTTGATGAACCAGAAAAAAGGTATCTAATATTCAATTTGCTCCTGTTTAAAGGCATTTACTTCATTAAAGGCTTTTGCTTTAGAAGTCCAGCCCTGAATTTACACTTTTCTATGATGCAATGAGATCTAGCAAATGAGGAGCTCACGGGAAAGAGTGTGTTTGAATAAAGCTTTTCTGGTGCCTGTCTCTCACTCTCTGCTGCAGTGTCCAAGGCAGACTGCTATGTGGAGCTGAAGCTGCCCACTGCATCTCCCAGTGTCTCCCGAACTCAGGTTGTTGACAACTCTGAGAACCCAGAATGGAATGAGACTTTCCAGTATCGGATCCACAGCGCTGTCAAGGTAAGGACACTGTGTGGAGCAGGTTGGACTACTTGTATTTTTGTACTTGATTTTGATACTTCATTCAAAATCAAGGGTTCTTTATTACCCTCAAAACTAGTGTTGCTTGTAAGGTGACAGTTGTCTTCAGTGGTACAAAAAGCTGTGCCATGCATATACAGTGATACAAACTACTGTGGTTAACTGCTCTCTCAAGTAAATTGCAGCGAGAATTTTCCATAAACATCCTTGTGATGTATCTCAGGAAAGGGAAATTATGGCACTACCTGGTGGAATTCAAGGAAATTCCTTGATTAAGCAAGTTTCTATTTGATGTTTGCTTCTTCTTTCACAGGAACTAAATTTCTACTCGCTGCCATGTAGTTCATTCAGTCAAGTTTTGCCATCAGTTCTGATGATTGAGAAAACCAAATTCAAACTCTTGGGTAGAGACTGTGCATCTAATACCTGTGTAGGACCTAATACAGTATTTAACAAAGTCTTCAGATGGTCAGCATTCACTCACAAAGCAGACACTAATGGCAGAGGGAAGGAAACTGTACTTTAAAAAATCAGTTTTAGTGGGTCACTATTGCTTTGAATAACATCCCTGGCTTTGGAATAAGGTGTCTATTGCAAGAAACTATCTCCCTCACTTTTCCGCAATGGTTGGTGACCAATGTGGAATGGTAATTGACTTGACTGGTAAGAAAATTGAAAGCTAAACTTTAGGGTGTGGGATCTTTTTCTTTCCCTCCAGGCTCATGAGACCTCAGCCTGGTTACTGCTGGAGATTGCCAGCAACATTCCAAGTTTAGTCTTGTCTCCTTGAGAACTAGTTACTTCAAGGCTCTTATTTGGGTGCCATATGTCCTCACTGTATGTATTTCAGTTTCCCTTGAATTTACCATCTCTGACCCAGTGCTGAGCAGGAAGAGATTGATCCCTATAACATCCTGGACTAAATCATCATGAAAGAGTGGAAATTGCTTCCTCGGGCAAATCTGTGCCTGGAGCTGGTGGAGAGTACTGCCGCATGAGTTCCCCTGGGGCCTCCCTCTGGGTGGGAAGCTGAGAAAATGCTTTAGCCAAAAGGTGTCCATTAGGAGAGTTTTCTGCTTAACTTTTTGCTTAATTTTTTATGCTGTAAGCCCTGCTGAAAATACTGAATTTTCCTCAGGATTGGGGAAGGGTATTGATTAATGCACAAGGTGTCCATTGTATACAGCTACCCAGGTCTGTCAGGGTTTCTGCCCCTTCATCTTAGGCTGTTTGTTTCTTTCTGCTTTTAGAACATTCTGGAGCTGACCCTCTATGATAAGGATGTCCTTGTCAGTGATGAGCTCACCTCTGTTGTCTTTGACGTGGGGGGTGTGAGGCCGGGGGAGCCCCTGCTGCAAACCTTCAGCCTGGACTCTGAGGTGAGGCCCTGGCTCAGCTCCTCCTGCACAGACCTGGCAGTGCCTGTCCCTCATGCATCTGGGTGGGAGAAGCCAGAATGTTGTAACAGTTTTTCATGAGACTTAGAGGAAGATAAACTGATTTTAATGTGAAAGGCATTTGCAGTCAGTAATCATTGTAGGGACTGTCTTATTTAGTTTGTCATCATCTGTTTGAGAAAAAACAAGTTCATTGCTGCAAAGGTTACCTCTATATCTGATAAGTCAAAAGCGTAAGAGATGCTTATGTTCCCTGGATTATGTTCAGTACATTTAACCTCTGCTTCATGTAGATGGTGTTGGTGATCAGCTGCTCTCAAGCCCTATTAACCTGTTCATGGACTCACAAGACAGCCTGTTTTATGTGGGTAAAAACCCCATCAACAGACTGATCTATTTTGTAATGCCACAGACACATTGCTACGATAGGTCAGGATTAAAAGTGAGCTAATGATGTGTTTTCTTGAGAAATTGGGCTGCAGTGCTGTTGGTGTGGTCAGAAGCAGGCTAACTGGTGTGCAGCTCAGAGGGAGGTGTTGGGCAGTGCCACAGGCACTCCATATCATTTATGATCATGGAAAGAGGCTTAGTAATTCCATTGCTCTCAGTAGCTCTATCCATTTCCTGAATGCTTAAGTCATCTTGGTCTGTAATTAAGAGACTGGAAATTTCAACTTCAGCAAAGAATATTACCCAAAAGAGCTTCTAGTTTGTTACTTGAAAAACTGTGTTAGGTCTGGTATCACGTATTTGCTGTATGCTATGGGAGGAGAAAAGACTTTGACTAGAGCCAAGTCTGTATAGGACAAAGACAGCAAGGAGCTAAGAGTGCAACCTGCTGAAGTAAGAGATGGGAAGAAGCCCAAAGCCCTGTGTAGAAGCTGTTTGCAGAGATGATGTTGCAGTGGTTCTTGAGCCAGAGGAGACTTTTTTCTCTCATTAGCAGAGTAATGGATCTGAGAGACACCTCTCACTTCTGTATACTTGTATCTTCAAATGTAGATATGTCTGGTCATATAGGGCATGTCCAGCAGAAGAGGAGAATTTAAAGGCTAAAGGCTACATTTAGCCATTTCAAAATTTAGCTAGAGCTTTTATAAAAGGAACAAAGCCAGTTATTTTAACAGGAAGTTAAAATATGTTGCTATGCTAGAGAACAAGACAAGGGCAGAAGCAGCTGCTTGGGTCAGGAAGTATTTAGTGGCGGCTTCAATGGCTCATAGATGGGGGATTTTGAGATTAATGGGAGGATGGTGTGTTGATTTCAAGGCTGGTCTAGGCCCTAATTCAGTGGTTACTGAATTATGAGAAAAGCTTAATCTCTTGGAAAAATATCCCTAATTATATATTCAGGATCAAGGGTCACCAATATCTAACTTTTATTTTCACAGGCTAAGGAAGAGCTGGATGTAGAGTTTTTCTTGGAGAAATGGTGAGTCTTACTTGAAGAGCTGATTGCACTTGTGCTCTGCAGATATATTGTTAGGGGTTTTTTTCTATGTGGGGATAGTCTTGCTCATAAAAAAGGATAATACTTTATAGTTCTCTGTGGGAATTGAGTTGATTCACTAATGGCTGACCAAAATTATCCTTAATTACTCCAGTCACCAAAATTTTTGGGGTAAAAAAGAAATAAGATTTTGCTGGACTTCATGGGATGTAAGTGAATGCTTTCTGGATTAGTTATTTGGGATTGGAAAGTTTTCAGTTAACCTTGCAAAATACACAAATATATACTTTATCTCTCTAGTAGTCTAAGTTCAGCTTTTCTCTAGGTTATCAGAATAACTGGGATGTGGAGATCCTATAGCGCATGCTTATATTTGCAGACTTTTTTTTTCAATTTTTCCAATCCCCCATTATTTTGTGAAGGGAAATATACTTGCTGTTTCCCTGGATCTCCCACAGTGAGGATCTTTTCATCCCACTGCTTATTCAGCCAATTAGTTTGTAAAGTAGGATGAGGGAAAATTAAAACCAGCTATCATTTGCAATAAACCTCTTGCTTTCACAGCTCGGATGCCCCTACAGAAGTGTTGACCAACGGAGTCCTTGTGGTGAGTACATGGAAGCCAGAATCATCTATGTTGTGATTTACTCCTGAAGATAAGTTTTTAGCAGAAAGAGGAGAAGGATTTTTGAGTATTACAGTCCTACTTCCAAATAACTCCTACTCTCTCCGAGATCTGCCTCTCTTTTTCATTTGTTGATTTAAAAATCTCCCTCAATTTTTAAACTTGATGGCAACTTACAGAAAGCTGCTTTATTTGAAATAACAAAACAATGCCTGATGGTTTTTGTTTTGGCATTTTGCAGCTGTAAACCTACAACTAATACAGTAGGTGAATTAAATTTCAAACAAAGAAGTGAGCTAAAAATTGTGTGACCAGAGCTGGTTTCTTTTTTTCACAGGTTCATCCTTGCTTGTGTCTTCAAGGCACTGTCAACAAAGAGGAAAATGCAAAAGAAAAACAGCAAGGTAGGGCTGTCTGGAGGGTTTAAGTCAGGACTACTATTCAACATGTTTGTTCCTTGAGAGAGAGGGGAGACTTGAATCTCTGTCTATACAGTGCATTTTAATTTACTGACTACAAAATTGGCTTTTAAAGTAAATTTTGCTTTTATTTTCAGTAATTAGTATGATTGGGTATTTTCTACTGGATACCACAATAGTCTTTTCCTGTGTACTTATGGTCTCAGCTGCACTTAAGTACTTGATTTTCAACAACTGGCCCCTGTGGTCTAAACTTCTTTTTCTAATGCACAGGAAGCTGTGAGGTCAAGGTGTCTGTCCCAGGGGCGTATCAAAAGCAGTTGTCTATTCCTTGGACACCAGACAATGAGAAGGATTGTGGAACCTCATTTGTCTTTCATGTGGATAAAGAAATGTGTTCAGAATTGCAAGTGGAGCTGCAGCAAACCATATCTGTCCTACAGGTAAGCATCCATGCTGATTCCATAAAGCTTACAGAGAGATAAGTTTTTCTTGATTGTTGTTTTTTACACACTGGCTTTTTTGTTTGTTTAAAAAATGTCAGACTGTGCATTGGATCTTTGATGTTGTGTAAGGAGCTGAAATTACCTTTAGAGTCTATGCTCCCCAAAGATTTAACATCTGTTCACACTCAAGGATTAGGAAAATGTTACTCTGCACGTGCTTGTTACATGGAGACATCTTTACTTTCACCTGTTGAGATACTCTATAGGGACTCTTTTCTATTAGAAATTTGTAGATCAGATGCCACTTGCAGAGGTTTATTTAGCTTTGTCTTTTACTTTGCACTTTCTCCAGGTAGTGACTGAATATTCATTCTCCAAAAATGAGAGCAAAGAAAATCTGTATTCTATGATGCTTTTTATCCCAACAAGCAATTGAGTAGCATGATTGCAAATGATGATCTTGACTACTGTAGAGGCAGCTGTGGAGAAGAGGACACGAAAAAGGATATGGAAGAGCAGCTTTGCCTGGGGGTTTGTTAGGCAGCAAACATGAGCTGAACAGAGACACCTGGGCTTGAGTGGTCGAAAACTCACAGCCAGGCAAGCAAAAACCACTGCAGAGGTCAGCTATGGAGATTGCCCCAGGTGGTAAACCTCTGCCAAACAGTTCTGGTAGCTAGGAGAACATACTCCTTCAACAAGCAGCATGGACCACAAAAGTCTTCAGTCTGCCCTCTTCTCCCTCATCAGATGTGGGAGAGTGCCAGGAGCATTGTAGTGTTGCTTGCCCTGTACCTAAATGCATGTTATTTGCCCCTGTTAGGAAGAGGACAGTGAATTTAGAGGGACATTGGTCTCAGGACAGTAGTTACTGGTCAGAGGACACCTGTGAAGTGTGTGGGTGGTTCCTGGCCTGACTTCAGCTCTTGGTGTGAGAAGGGTGACAGCCTGCTGTTTCTCTAAGGTGTGGTCTCCTCCTGGGTACTGAGCCCTGTGGTTGGTGTATGGGCTCCAGCCCACCTGGAGGCTCTGTAGGCTTTTGGGACCCTCTGATGTGAGGGGTTTTTTATATGCCTCTTTGCATTTAGCAATCTGCACACAGCCCTGCATTATGAGATCTTGCCATTTGCTACATGACAGAAAACCCAAATATTTCCTGGCAAGCTTTAATTTGCTCTGCTTTTAAAATTACAAACTGCCTTATTTCTTATTTTGTGGTATTTTTGATGTATGTGTAATGCTGCTGCCTTTTTTGGTATCTTTTCCAAATCTTGCTTGGAAGATGGAAATGCAAGTTTGTTTGTGGGTTTTGTGACACATGCCAGCACAAAACTATTTGTGGGGGAAATTTTGTACTTGAAATTTTTTTAATTATGGCAGACAGGTATATTAAAAAAAAAACCCAATTACATTAAACAAAACACCCCCAAAACTAAACCAAACAACCACAAAAAAGAACCTATTTGAGTGAAAGAAAAAAAAAAGGAGAAAGCAGAATGCCCTCAAAAAGCCTTGGAAATTTGGTAAATATTTAGCTATAATGATATTAAGAATTGTTTGCTGTTTCAATGTATGAAAGTCATAATTTTTTAAACTTTTTTCTATCTCACATAAGATTTTGCTTTTATTAGGATGGTGTGAACCCTGATATTGAAAAGCATACGACAGTTCTGGGACTGGGGACTGTACCAATTAATTCCCTTCCTATTGGAGAAAAAGTTGATAGAATCATTTCTCTAGGAGAGGTAATGTCAATATTTTGCTCTTGCTTTAACATGCATGAGAACCTTTTCCTCCATTGCCTCCAGGTGTTTGGAAAGTTAGGCAACATGTGATTGAATCTCAGGACTGCTGTTTTCTTGGATGTCTTAGAATGCAGGAATGAGATTACTCAGTGCAATTCTTCCTAATGTGTTTTCATGATTGGGTCTTGCAAAATGAAGTATAAAGTTGATCACTTTCCGAAGAAAAAAGTCTTTTCAGGGTGTGGAAGAAAAGTATCAGGCGGAGGAAAAAGGCAAGACACTTGGAGAAGAAATAATTCCTAACTTCTATTTTGTAGTTCCACCTGTGTAATTACTGTCAACTTCAAGATGTGTTCTCTCTTTTGACAGGGAAAAAGTTTGGATATGAGTTTGAAAACTGAAGAGAGGTGAGTGGGAGCCCCACTTGAAAATCAGCAAAGATCTTTATTCTCATATAAAGGAACTGAGTGACTCTCCTTGCTGTTCTGGGGAGCTCTGTCCACTCCATTGATCTCTTGGGATAGATTAAACAAAAATATATTTGATAGGTTTTTTTGATAATTTTTGGAAGGCTGTGACTCTTTACTTTGCAGTATTATCTATTGGACAGGTGTCAATCCTGCTGACACCTGTACAAATTTTGTGTTCCTAATACTTAAATGTACAATATCTGTTGATGTAAATATGAAGTAGTTTTGTCATGCACAGGTATACCAGAATATCCGAAGTGATGTAATGAGAGATAGGAAAGGACATAAGTGTGTGAAGAGCTTGAACTATAAAATAGGTGAAGGCTGCAAGAAAGGAGTAAAAAGGGAAAAAAAACCCAGAAAACCAAGAGTTTGGCTTGTAAGTTGATAGGGTCATTTGGTATCCAGTCATCAGCTGAAGATCCTACTCCTGTTTTACAGCTTCATAACAAGTTCATTGGTATTCAGCTGCCTCTTAAGTTCAGAATCTTCTGTTTTAAAATCCCCCTTCCCCTCATTTCATGTTCACATTGATGCAGTGATGTCAGTTGCTCCTCTTACAGTCTTCTTCACTTACAAGAATCTTTTCTTTCTTTGTGAAATTCCTGAATCCTAATCTGCGTACTGTTTGACAGGAGCTTCGAATTTAAACATTAAATGAGAAATACAATATGGAGAATTTAATTTTTAATTCCGAAAGGTTGTTGTACAAAATAGCTGATGTATACACTAAAATTTCATCTGATCCAGTTCAGACCTGCACCTAGATTCTGTGTTCACAAAAATTGCATTTCCATACTGATTACAAATCCTCCAAAATGTCAAGGTTTTTTTCCTTCTGTTTCAGCACTTGGGATCTTGATATACGTCTGGGTTTTGATCTCTGTAAAGAGGAGAGAGAATTTTTGGACAAAAGGAAGAAAGTAGTTTCTGAGGCACTGAGGAAGACTCTTTGTTTAAAAGAATCCCCTCCAAAAGATGAGGTATTGAGCACAGTCCTGTAGTGAGATTGGTGAAATTCTTTAGGCTTGGTTGATAATTAGGCAATGTAGGAATCCTTGTTTGAAACACGGTTTGCATTCACTATGGTGTGAGACAGTACATTTCAGTTCTGAAGTCTAAATGTTTTTATATTTCTTAAATTTTGAGGGGGTATGTTTCAGGATGTTTAAAATGAAAATGACACTACAGGAATTGATTTTAATTGTTTATTTGAGGAAACTTACATCTACATATCCTCATGCCTTGCTTAGTGGTATTTGGTTGCAGTTACAAGACTAATTGCCTCTTACATGTGTATTGAAAGAAAGTAAATGTGTGATAATATACATAACAATTTCAGTAAGTGACTGTTCCTAAGATGACTGTGCTATGCTTTATAGTAAGCAATATATTTCAATTACAAAATAGAGAAAGAAGTTCAGCTTGAAATCAAACCCAAAATTACTTGTAATGTAGATAGAAATGAAGGTTTATATCTCCTTTTGTTAGAGTTTATATCTCTATTTTGTATCTCTATTAGAATATTTATCTCTATTTTTTATGTTCTATTTTTTGTTCAAATGAGACTGAAATGGGGTTAGTTCTGTAATTTATTGGCCATCAAAAGCCTGTGGTTGTGACTCCTGAGTGTGCTGTCTTCAGGTTCCAGTTGTGGCAGTGCTGGGCTCTGGAGGTGGGATGAGAGCACTGACGTCCTTCTATGGCAGCCTTGCTGGGCTGCAGCAGCTGGGCCTTCTGGATGCTGCAGTGTACCTCTGTGGCATTTCTGGCTCCACCTGGTAAGCTACATGCAGTTTTGATTCAGAAACTTAGAGGTGAAATGGTAGCGTTGATGCAAAATAAGGCCAAAATTACATTTGTTGGCAGACAGCAAATCAAGGATTTTACCAGTTTTCACCTGTGAGTTCTGCTGGGGATCCTGAACAGTCTAAGACATCCAGTATCATGTCCAACCCATACAGCTACTGGCTAAAATTATGAATCTGCTGCTTGTGCAAGTGTGACAGTTAAACATTAGAATGTTTTATATGAATAAGACTGCTGTGTAGTAACTCAGAGCATTGACTTAAAAACCTTCCTCATTTCCCTACTCTTGCCGAGAAGATAACTGAGGTGGTGCAAGTCACTGGAAACACGTCCGTGCAGGCCACCACGTCATCACCTTCCAAAATGGCATGGAGGCTGAAGAGAGGCATAGCACTGTCTTGCCCTTTGGTGGACTGGAGCAATGTGCTGAAATATTAGATATCTGTGCCTAGAATGTTTCAGTCGCTCAGTTCTTGGAGTTTGTGGTGAAGTCACCCCTTGTTTTTGTGAAATTATTTCATAGAGGAGTTGCACCACCTGACAATGTAATCCTTCCTTCCAAGCTTTTTGTGTTAATTTAACTCCTCTGTACCGAGTTCTCCTGCCCCTTCTGATTCAGAGATGCTTCCAAACAAATGTAGGCATCTTGTTTGCACAGATAGTTGATGGTCTAAACTAACTTCTCTTTCAATCAGACCTGTCTTCTGGTAAAGGCCACGGCCTCTATTGCTGCACACTGCTTCCTTGCCATCAGCCAGCACATTGTGGTTGTTTTGTTCTGGAGTTAACATATGTTTATGGGCTGGTTCATGGGTGCTAGCATAGGATGCTTGGAACGTCTTTGGAAGGCAGGTTAGCAATCAAAACAAAGATGTCCTATAGGTGTCAGGGTTTTCAGCACAATTTAGAGTTCAGAGATCTTTTATTTATATATTCTTCACTCTTTTAGCTAGACTTCTCAAGTGCTGCAGCACTAATTATAACTAGCTAAAATTATTGTTTACAGGAAGGTCTTTATTACTGATGACATTAATAAAAGCATTTTCAGGTGTTTATCAACACTGTATCGAGACCCTGACTGGTCACAGAAAGACCTTCAAGATGCAATCAGAAGAGCTCAGGACACTGTGTCCGGCAGCAAAGCAGGTGCATTTTCCCCAGAACGACTGAAGTACTATTTCCAGGAGCTGAATGCAATGGAGGTCATGGGACGGAAGGTTTCCTTTACAGATTTGTGGGGCCTTATTGTGGAATATTTCCTACAACAAGAGGTAAAAGGATTCATGTTTGGATGTGTCCTGCTGTTTGTCTTTCAAGTGGGAACTCTGCTGACCCATGTATGTAGAGTCATGTATTTAGAAACCAATTACTCTTCATCTTTGTTTAGGCACAATGTTGTGGAATAAATATAGTATCTTCCTTAGTAAAGAATTTCTAATTCATATGGATCAATGTTACAGAAAAATGCAGTTTGTGTTTGGAATGACTGTTATTAAAAGAACAGCTTTTGTACTGGGCCCATTAAGCCTGGCAGAATGTTCATTTTGCAAAATGGAGTTATTGTGCAGTATTTTCTGTGTAATTGAGATTGAAAATCAGAGGGATAGCTAGTTTATTATTAACATTAAATATTCTAAATACACATCTGCAGAAATATTGGACAAATCTAAACATATACCTGGACAGTGGAGGAGAAAAAGGACTTTGACTTAGTAGTGTTGTTAATCAGAAATGCTAAGCAGCAGCTACCAATTATCAAACTATGGGTACAGAATTTACCTGACTTAGGTGGGCTTCTCCTTCCTTGCTTGTTACCAGGAAGATCCATCAAAGCTGTCTGATCAGCAAGAAGCAGTGAAATGGGCCCAGAACCCTTATCCTATCTATGCAGCTGTCAATGTGAGACCCAATATGAGCAGTGGTGACTTTGCAGGTATGAACATGGAAATTTATTTTTGTTTGCTGAAGTCCATAAGTGTATTTCATCTATCCAGTTGCTTGGGTAGTGAGCAGCTGATAACAGGAAATACAGCTCGAGCAGCAGGTGGTAGTACAAGGGGCAGTAGGAAACCGATTGGCAAAGTATTATCATCCTCATAGCAAATGTCTTCTTTGTGGCTAAAATGGAGAAATGAGATTGAGAACTGTTGGCCACTCCACATGTTTTGCTAGAAACTGCCTGAAATTTTCAGGAGCTGAGAATATTCCTGTAATACATGTGCCTCTGTCTGAATTAGAGGCCTTGGTGATAAGGAAACCACTTTCTTTTATAGTCCTAGATAAAAAATATGTGTAGGATTCATGTAAAATGATGCATTGGCCACCTTGTAATGTGCATCATCAAAATTGTATGTTTTAGTGGTCTGAGTTCTTACAGTAAAAATATGAAAAGTAGTCTTTCAATGAAACTTTAAATATGATGCAACAAGTGGGGATAGATGAGTGAGACAGGAACACAAATGCTTGTGTCCACCTGTGTACCACTAGGGAACATGTTTGTTTTATTCTGAGGAGTTGTGTGTATGGCAGTGAATTCAATTAGATCCAACCTGCCAGTGCTCAAGAAGGATTTGGATAATGCTTCCAGATGCATGCTGTGTTTTGTCAGGTTGATCTATGCAGGCCCAGGAGTTGGACTGGATGGCCCTTATTTTTCAGCTTTTTGTGGGAATCTTTCAAGCATGAGGAGGCACTTGGCTAAGCAAACAGTGAAGTCTGACGCAGTGGGTCAATTGGGTTTTCAAGCCAGTACTGTAGTAGTTCCTGGGAGATGGTTTGTAGTGCAGGGAAAAGCTGAAAAAAATAATGTAGCTTCAATTTGGATGGAAAAGGGAGCCATCAAAATGGTTTAAATAAAAAGTCAAATATGCAGGTTGTTTCCATAGTAACAAAGTCAAGATGGAATGAAAGCCTTCACAAGAGTTTTTGTTAATAATATGTACATAGAAAGTAGAGTAGAGGGGCAGAGAAATCCATAGTGATTGTGAAAAGTGAGGGGAGAGTCCTTTCTGTCTCCCCTGTGTGAACAGATATCAGATAAATATTTTCACTCATGTTTCCTCTGAGATGAGTAAATATCCTGTTGGCTTGTTCTTAGAATGGTGTGAGTTCACTCCCTATGAAGTTGGATTTCGCAAATATGGAGCTTTTGTTCGAACAGAGAATTTTGACAGCGAGTTCTTCATGGGACGGCTTGTCCAGAAACATCCAGAGCCCAGGATTTGTTTTCTACAAGGTGTGATCTTATGATAATGATTAAATTATCATATAAGGAGATGGAAAGGAACTTTGCTGCTTTGGGGAGTTATGAACTGAAGTCCATGCCTTTTTTCCCTTCCAAAAGGACTTGAAGTGAAACATGTCAGTCCTTCTCCAGAGCTTTAGGTTCATAGTTGGTTCACAGTGTTGCATTCTGATGTCCTGAGTCTGCAAGATGACTCTATTATAGCTGCCTGTCAAAAATTGCCTGTCTACTGTCGATCTTCCTGTTCTCTTAATGTCTTTTCCATGCTTTTCTCTGGGAAAATTTTCTGCATTATATCGCAACATCATGATTTGTCACATGATTAACACCAAGGTTTTAATTAGAACTGTTAGAATAGTAGGGAATCAAGTGACAACCCTCTCCCATGAAAAATGTCAGGTGAATTATAGGCCTTTTGGTTCTGTGAGAAACCTTTTGAGTGTTAAATTCTCCTGCATTTTTCCTGCAGGAATGTGGGGCAGTGCCTTTGCTGCAAGCTTGGATGATATCTGCCTGAAGGTGGTTGGTATAGGACTGAGCTTTCTAGATTCTTTCAAAGATGTTATCAAAGTTGTAGGTAAGAACATACATAAAAATAGTTGGGTTTTTCAAAAGATGGCTGATTTTGTAGTGATCACAAATAATATGATGCAAAAATGTGCTGTTTGTAGTTTTCAAGACTAGCACAAAGAGTGGATTGGGACAGATCTCTTTTATTGTGTGTTATTCCCTTTGATCACTCTTATAGTGAAGAGAAAATGTTTCTTTAGTACACTTCCTCTTCTTTTAAAAAGAATTGGTATCTGACTTTGACTAAAATTTGGGCTAGTTCTGGGAGCTGTCTTAAACACATATTAAAGTGCAGGCATCATAATCCTGAGAAGAGGAAGAATAGAAGCTGGTTTGCTAAGCTGGAAATGGAAAAAAGAGGCTTTCAGTTTCCCCCATGGTATGCTTTTTGTAGTATTGTATAAGCTGGTTGTATGCTTATTCATTGATCTCCATTTGTCCATTACAGTGAAGTGTTTTAGAGGCTGGGACTTGTTCATGTGCATAGTTATGGCCTTATAGTAACTAGTGGATGAAGAGATTTTTTTTTTCTCTGCCTTTCCAGCCCTGGTTCCCCCAGAACACCCCAACTCTTTTTGTTTTGTGTAGTTATAAATGCTACAGTGTGTGGTTGACTGATGTCTTATGTAACAGAAGTGGTTTCACTTGGTAACAAAGGTTTCTTTGTGTGGGTTTGAAATTAATATGGGCAATGTTTTATGAGTAATGCTTTTCCCATTAAACAGGGCTAGTAAATCACCCACCTATGGAATGTACATCTCATTTAAATTTCATTACAATACCCTTATTAGAGGACAAATTCAGCCTTGGGTCAGCTGGTTAAATATTGCACAAAAAGGCCTAACTGAAATGTTGGAGCTGGCATTTTGTGCATGTTCTGCATCCTTCTGTGACTTCTGCAGATGACTGCCAAAGATTCCATTTCCGAGACCCAGCACGGCTGAAGACTCGCTTGGTTATACCTGGGGGCCCCTTGTTACAAATATTTCAGGATTTCTTCATGTCCCGGGTCACATGTGGAGAAACCTTCAACTTCATGAAGGGATTGTATCTTCATAAAGATTATGTTAACATCAAGAAATTTGTGACTTGGAGAGGTAAAGGAGTTTATGTGTTTCTGATTATCAAAAAAATATTAACACACTATAAAATATCCCAATGTCACAGAACATTAGTGAGCTTGACTTTCTGCTGAAGCCAGGGCATATGTCCCTTCTTACACCATAGCAAAAATTTTGATCCACTCTATTTGTTCTGTCATATAAGGCAAGCTGATCATCAGATTTTATAGGTCTGTCTCAGATGAAAGTGCATGTTGGAGTGTCTTTTTTCTTCTTATAATACTAATATGAGCTTTGTCTTGTTCTTCTGCCAATACATGTGTAATGAATCAATATAGTTACTTGTGTTACTTGGAGTGTCTTACAGATAGTCACCTGGATGCATTTCCCAACCAGCTGACGCCCATGGAAGAGAACTTGTATTTAGTGGATGGTGGCTTTTCCATCAACTCTCCCTTTCCTTTGGTACTTCAGCCAGAGAGGGATGTGGATGTTATCCTGTCATTCAATTTTTCCTGGGAAGCTCCATTTGAGGTGAGAGATTAGCTGAGCATTATACATGAACATAAAAACACAGACTCATACTCAGTGGCAGCAGATCACTTGAAGCTGAATACAAATACTAATCAACAAATGAAAACAAATCCTTATGTCTTTCACGGAATCACAGAATGGTTTGGGTTGGAAGGGACATTAAGGATCATCTCATTTCAACCTGCTGTCATGGGCAGGGACACCTTTCACTAGACAAGTTTGCTTAAACTCCTATGCATCCTGGCCTTGAACACTTCCAGGGGTGGGGAGTCCACAGCTTCTCTGGGCAACCTGTGCCAGTGTCCCACCACCTTCACAGTGAAGGGTTTCTTCCAAACATCTAATCTAAACTTACCTTCCTTCAGATTAGGGCTGTTTCCCCCTTGTGCTGTCACTACATGCCCTTGTCAAAAGTCACTCTCCAGTTCCTTCCTGTAAGCCTCCTGTAGTGCTGGAAGGTGTTGCAAGGTCTCCCCGGTGCCTTCTCTTCTCCAGGCTGAACAGCCCCACCTCTCTTGGCCTGTCTTCCTATGGAAAGACATTTCAAAGGTTATGTTGCTATGCTTTTTCCTGTGAAGGTCATGAGAAAATAGAAAGTTGACAACTGTAAGAAGATTCAAAAATTTTCAGAAGCCTAAACAGATTAAGTAAAATAAGACTATTTGTATGGCCCATAAGATGATTGTCACTTAGATATGTGCTTCTAAAGAAAGAGTGGCTATTGGTGATTTTTTTCATATAAACAAGTTATTTTCTGTACATACAAGTGTTTATTATTAACTGCAGAAAAGTCAAGGTGAATAGATTTAGAGTAGGAAAGCATAAAAAGTTTCAGCTGCAATCTGTTGATATTTGTTGCAGTTCTGCTCTTCATTCTTCTATATTACCAGCTGGAGAAATTGTTTCTGCTGATTTGAAGCTGAGCTCCTGTCACTTTTTTTTAAATGAAAATCTCTTTCCTTTTGAGGATTGCAGTTAGATGATTTTAGAAGTGTTGCTGATGTTGTGTTGCAATTATCTTTTTCCTCTGATAACAGGTTCTAGAGCTGACTCAGAAATATTGTGAGGAGCAGGAAATTCCTTTTCCAAAAATCAAATTTACAGAGGAAGATGAAAAGAAGCCAAAAGAGTGTTACATGTTTGTGGATGATGATAATCCAAGGGCTCCAATTGTACTCCATTTCCCACTTGTGAATGACACCTTCCAGAAATACAAAGCTCCAGGTAAACTAGCTACCTCTTAAAGCACTCTTCTAACAATTCTTTGGGTGTGCTGATGGGGAAAATTCAGTGAGGTCAATGTTCCTCTTTTGATTCTTCTTAATATTACTCTGTGATTGTTAAAATTGTTGTTTACATGTAAGGCAGAATCAGTTTCCACTAGTTTTTTGAAGGGCAGGATGAGGGAAGAGGCTCACAACACCCCTTCCCCCACAAAAGTGTTTGTAGTAAACTACTTTGCTGTTCATCTTTTAAGACTGGTATTTAAATTTAAGGGGCATGGTACTCCTAGGGCCAGTTGAACTTCAGGTTTGTCTTTCACTTTAGTGTAGAGCAACACTTCCGGGGAAAATTGAGCTTTATATTCCTTATTTTGAGCATAATAATAAAAGATAACCTTAAAATTTATCACAATGAAAACGTGTTTTAGCACTGTATTTTGGAGCCAAGTGGAAATAGAAAGAGAATACTTTTCCCCTTCAGCTTTCAAATATTTTGGAAGGAGCTGATGTCTCTGAGGAGGAGCTTTGGGGAAAAAGTTAAATTTCAACAGAATTATCTCTGATCTCCTCCTAGCTGAATTCCACCAAAATGATTCTACCACAGCAGAGGGTTTTTTATGATTTTTTTGTTCTTTCTTTCTTTCTTGCTGCAGGAGTTGAACGTGAGTCAGAAGAAGAAAAATCCTTTGGTGACTTTATCATTGAGTCAAACGATTCCCCTTACCGGACACTAAACTTCACCTTTGAGCCGTATGATTTCAGCAGGTTAGTGGAAGTGAATCGCTACAATGTTCTGAACAACAAGGACACTCTCCTCAAAACCCTAAACTTGGCTCTGCAAAGGAGGAAGTTGAAGAAAGTCACCAATCAGTCAGATACATGAGCAGTTTCCAAGGCTGAGGATACAGAGAGGCTGCAGTGTACAAAAGCTGTGAGGTTCAAGATAATATAGTGATAGTGAACAGCTAAAAACTCTCTTCCTGGGGAGGGAGTAGTACACCTGACGCTGAAAACTCATTCCAGGTTATGTGCTCTGATGAAAACTCAAGGAATGTATAGTACAACATGGATGTTGCTTCCTTGTGTGGATGAGAGTGAGGAATTACTCAGCTCAGTATCTCCAATCACAGTGGCTGATTCCAGATGATTTGAGAGGTCTACACAAACCATTTGAGCTTCTGGAGAATAATCTTCCAGCCTCTACTGAGTGATGCACCTCTTTTTTGTCAAAGGTGTGTTGGTGTTTGAGGGAACAGTTTCCTTCTGTACTTTTATCTCTTGCTTATGAACCTCCCTTAATGAACTTTTACAAGTTACATCATCCAAAGAAGAGCTCCACAGATGAAAATGACACACTGAGAGAAGAAATGGCTCCTTTTTCTTTCACCTTGCTATGGCTGATGCCCATGTGCTTTCAAGACTGAACAGTCATTACCTGCTTCCCATTTTGCCATTCAGGGTTTCAATTTCCTTCCTGTCCTTCTCAAGGATTTTAATGGCTTTTAGTCTCCCAGAAATTCTATGCAGAGTATCTTATTTTGGTAAAAAAATTGTTTGGTAAACAAGGAAATAAATGTTTTTTATATTTAACAATAAAAACACATTGTGGGATTTTGTTACTGCTTCCTATAGTTTGATCGTCATGAGATGATGAAACTATGATGAAAATGCCGTAAGTCTCAGCTTTCTCTTTCTGTGTAAGAGGAAGGAAGGCTCCTTTGAAGGGTTTGAAATAGATATTTTTTCCCTACTCTTCAGCTTGTAATTTACCCAGGCCTTTGTTGAAGGAGTTTTTGTGTCTACATACTTTAGAAACGTCCATAGTCAAGGTAGGCACACTTTATGAATGTGAATTAATAAAATAATGTAAAATGTTGCTGTGCTGTGGGGTGGGATTCACCTCACTTTGCATAAAGCCCAAAGAAAACTACTGAATTATGCAGTTGGAAAATATGTAATGCAGAACAGTGGCAAATGAGCACTGTTAGTTTTATGGCTTTTACATTGAGCTGAATGTATGGATTCTGGATTTAAAACTGAGGACAGGAGGTTTGTCTTATGAAATTATCTAAGGACTTATATAGTTCTTAATACATTTTTTCATGTGTTTCTCTTTTAATAAATATTAGTTTGCTCACATGCTCTTCATAGTTTTTCTTAAGTACACTTGTCAGAGACAACTAGGTTGTTAGCTTGTGGATGAAAATCAGGGGCTGAGCCAAGACAGAAAACCTTGTATTTACTGTTTACTACAGACCATCTAATCAAGGGGAGGATGAGCAAGATAATACCTGTTACTTCCTAAAGAATCTTAAAAATGTGGAAAACCTGTTTCAACTGAGAAATTGAAAGCGCCTAAGTTTTCAAGGTCAAGAACTGTGGTTTTTTGCTATCTTACTAAGAGTTGGAAGTGGTGCTGGTGAATTCAGCTGACTCACAATGGAATCACAAGCACCTTGCTTCACTGGTCTTTACAGCAGGATAATTTTAATAAGAGTTTCTAAAAACTTCTTGGTTTTAAGTTGGACTAAGTGAATTAAGCAGGTACTTCAGCCTCTGATCTGATCTATGATTACAATGGAAACTATGATTACAATGGAAAAAGAGCATACTGCCTGCCTCTGCAAGACCGTCTACTCACATCCACAGGTATTGCAGCTAAGGTTGTCTTCCTTTTGTGGGCTTGCTAGATTGCCACAGACAAGGATCATTTTGCATTCACAATAATATGGGTTTCTTTTCCTCTGCAGATGATGACCATGTTATACATAGCTGATAAGCTCTAGCTGAATCTTCTTTTCTGCTAAGTGCTTAGCAACTAAGCACTTAGTAAGTTCACTGGTTGATGCTGTTGTATCAGCAATTAATTCTTATATTTAAAAAAAAAAACCTTGGAAGATTTTTATAATAATTCCTGCTGTGGATTTTTCAATCCTGAAGTAGTGAAGGAACAACATAAAATAACTAATGGGATATCATACTCTAATAAGGAAATAATTACTTCATATGGAAATATCTGCTTTTTTGTCTGCCCTTGCAGTGTTAAAGACAATCTTCTGTGTGGCAGCAGATCTTCTGATAGCACCTCCAGTCACTTCTGACACAGGTCAGATACAATACAGGTCTCATTGTATCTGCAGTGATTCTAAGAGGAATTAAACTTAAAATGCAAGCACCATAATGCTGTGAAGGTAAAAGATCTTCTTCTTTGTTAGGTTGCTCAGGGCAGCAGCAGGTGAACAGGAAATCCAGGGCAAAGGAGGGAGCAGAACCTTGTGATGGCTTAGCAGAGAGGGAACACCACTGGTGGCCTGCTGCTGAGAGTGTTTAAGCCAGTTCTGTGGAGCAGGAGTTTTCGTAAAGGTCTTGGTATCCTAGAAAAAGAGCTGCCTGGGAAAATGCAGGAGCATAGAACAAAAGGTGGTGGTGTTTTCTTAAGGGTGCTGTACCTTGGAATAGAATGGTTGAATTAATTTTTCCACTTCTCCAATATCTCCAAATTTGTTCATAGCCAAGCAATGTTGTTATGTTGAACTTTACTTTTTTATAGTTCAGTGCAAAATCTTTGGAATCTATCAACTCCAGTAGATGAAAAATTTATCTGGAGCCACACCTAAAAATCTTAATCTGGGACAGAAGTATTGCTAACTCTGTTGCTTTTGATGTGGCAAATATTACACCAGGCTAGACTTTATTCACATGTTTGTGATTAGTTCAGTTGCCAGTTGAGGCACTTTAAACACCTCAAAAGGAAGAAAAACAAACAATGTTTAATCAGAAGTTGATATTGATGTGACTTGGATTTGAAAAAGGTAACGAGATCTAGAGGTGCGGGAGGTTGAAACATTTCCAGTGGAAAAAGGAAATGGACTGTTGAATGAAGTTCTGATAGGGTTTTATCTAGACCATTTTTATGCTGGAATGTCACCCATATCTGAGGAAATTTAACTCACAGCAGAGGCATGGATGAAGGAGTATGTATGGGAAAGGAAAAACCTGCTATTTGAGAGGACACTGGATGACTGTAGGTTAATTTGTTTGTCACAGCAACAATTGAGAATGGACCTGTCTGTTCTACATGTAAGCAACTTAGAGAAGGGAGATAAAGCTGGAAGGCCAGTGGTGGTGTAGGAGCAAATATATTAAGGAGTAAACTGAGGCTGAACATAAAAATAATGTTTAAGATTTTTGTGAAATCTATGAAATCATTGAGAATGATTAGGCTAACTTATTGGTGGACATGTAAAGCAGAAGCAGAACAATGATTTATACATAGAACAAATGATTTATACAAAGGTATGCCAGTGTTTTTAAGAAGTGTTCTCTTGTTTCACATCTTTGTGATCAGGGCTCAACAACTGGTAGGAAGGGAAATGCTGATCTCTCCCTGGGCTCCATATAAGCAACGGGAGCCTGAATTGTTTTCTCCTTATAATAAATCCTCCTGCAGGAGTGGAGTACAGTCTGTGCACTGACACACACACCTGGGTGCTTCTTCACACCTGTCCCATTTTTCAATTCCTTTTAAGGGAGTAGTGCCCTCTTACATGACACTTCTCAACAAGGCATCACCTGCTGCGTTTATAATCTTAAAACATCATAAGACAAGACCTTGAGCTAGAATAGCCTGCTGCGTTTAGCAGGCTTGCTGTAAAATGGTATTTGGTACAAGCTTATTTCCTCCAAATGTATCTGATAGAGGGAGTTTTCAATTTCAGGGCAAAATATGTCAGTCAGATTTGGGGTTAGTAATAAGGGAGACATGCGGGAACACATTCTGTTACAAACTATAGGCTTCATAAATGATTATCATTACTATATAAATATATACATTATATAAATTATATAGATAAAACATGAATTATTAATTATTTTCATGTACCCCATCTTCTGTAATTTTGTGAGTTTGTAATCATGCTAACATTTTTGACTATTGCACTTTTTTTATCCATGGTTTCAGTGAAGCTCAACAGCACATGCAGGTGGTGGACTTTTTGGTTGTGGTTGTTTTTTATTTGTTTTCTGAACTAGTTATTGCATTGCTGACCATCACAATAAGGTCAGGTAAGAGTTGTATAATGTCACACAAACCAGAACTTCTGTTGAGGATTCCACAGAGACTATGATTCATACCTTATGTGCTTTCAGCCCAAGGGTGTTGATGTAAATATCAGGCTGAGTTTACCTTAGGGGTAAACACAAAGAGCTGTAAAGCTTGATTAGCTAGGTATGGTAAAAAAATGCTGCTCAGAAAATTATAGACAAAATTTCAAATTATGTTCTCTTTTTAAAAAATCCCACAATATCATAAAGATAATTAAATTTTATATGAGACCTTCAGCTATAAAACAAACAAATCTTTACATAGCCCCAATGGGGGAAAAATATCTTTATAAAAGTCTAATTATGGTTGCTGTCCCTGCCCACTTTGACCATCACAAGCATTTCTTCTGCTTTGTAACAAGTAGAAATTAAAGAAGGTTTTGTGGTACTTCCGTGAAGTTAACCAGGCTCTGTATCTTTGCAATGCATTCTTTTCCACCTCTGCTGCTAAAGGTTCTTATTGGAAAGCATCTATAAACCCCTAAATCTAAAGTATAGTGTGACCACTGCGCAACCATAGCAGTGTCAAGCCCTAGTCAGAATTAGAAGACTCATTGCAGGCACATCCATGATTTAAATGTAGGGTGTGGGGATATTTTTCCTTCAACATTCCACCACAGGGCAAGCCACCAATGTGGCAGAACAATGGAAGTTCCCTGCTGTTAAGATTATTTCCCAACTCACTCTGTTTTTTTTCTTAAGGGTGTGTTGGTGTTTGTCTGCATTTTGTTTTTGTTTTTTGCACTTTTGTTGGGATTTTTTGTGTGTTGGACTTTTTCCTGTTAGAAAATGGTGGCAATTTAAAAGCAGAGCTGGAACTGAGAGGCTTGACAGGGATCAGAGTGGGTGGGACTGTATTTTTCAAGTGCTTTGTGAATGCTTTGCTTGCAGAAGTTAGCCCCTGTTTTGTAATGAGATGTGCTGGAAAATGGCATCTGGACAGCTGCATTCATTAGTCCATTGTGAAACATGGCAAGTTCAAGCAAGTTTTATCTGCAAATTTCACCTTGGGCTTTACTGTGGAACCATTACTGGAATCTGCATAATGATGCATGTGATGTTTCAAGGATAGTATTACACCAGAAGTTAATTTATAATGTGTCAACAGTGTTAAAGCAATATGTCAGGAAGAAATGTGTGTGAGAAAAGTCAGAAAAATATCTATTCTGGTTGAACCCAAGACATTCTATGATTTTACGATACTTGAGGTTGTAGAGTTCACAGTAAGCATCAGGAAATGGAAGTCAGCTCCATTCAATTTACAGCTATTTTGAGTTTTCTCTCTTTTTGGTGATTTCTATCTGAGTCTCAGGGTATTTGTAATTTGGTCAGGCATTGAGGGCAAAATCCCCTTCTTCTCTTCTGTCAGAGAATCAGGCATTGGCTGCTAATTGAAAGGTAACTGTTGAACAGGTATAATTATCTCTGTATTCCAAGAAGCCCTATTTTGTGAACTC